AAGGAGAGAGATTTACTCACGAGAATCGTCACTAAAATATTTTATTCAGTGTCGTTACTGCGCCATAAATATTTAGATGTTCACGGTTATTATGATATAAAATATATAATGTCCAGAAAGAACCTTATGTTCACATTTAGATGTTACTGTTGTGATGCAGCTTCCTGCTGTGTGACGCTGGAGTCAGTGCAAACTCTCCTTTGGACCCAGATTAACCATCGAACCCAGTAAGTGCTGATACACATCACGACCAAATATTATTCATATAACATCAATTATATATAATAATAAATAAATCATGTAAAAATGTTGCAAAGAACAAACTTAGGAAACATTTTAAGTGCGTATTTAAATGGAGTTGTTGAAGTGCTGGAGTCAGCGGCAGCAGAGTTCTTGTCATGCAGCTTCGGGCTGTGTGAACACTGGGAATCAGAATAAGATGATCTTTGGACGTGGAACCAGATTAAATATCGAGCCCAGTAAGTATTGATATGAATTTAAATGTATTAATATGAGGCGTCTTTAAAAACGTCTACCTGAAACAGACTGAAAATAAAAACGCATGATCGTAATATAAAACACATAAACCCAGAGATCAGAGTGTTGATCTAAATCATTGTCTTCAGTATTATTCTCTTGTATTATTACTACTGTAAAGAGAATGGCAGAATTTACATTTAATTTAAAAACATTTAAAATAGACATTTCTTTTTAAATGAGAACAGAAGCTTATTTTGTGCAACTCAAATATAAAAATTCAGCAAAAGTCTCAATATAAAAATGACGTGTTTCTACATGAAGTCTGGTTCAGCTGTCTCTGCTGAGTTTGTGTCATGGAGCTTCATGTTGTGTGAATACTGATGGAGGTGGAATATAAGATGATCTTTGGGAGTGGAACCAGATTAACTATTGATCCCAGTAAGTCTGATACTGATCATATATATAACTCACATCTTTCACAGGAAACGTTACAGTGTTTACACAGATATACATGGAACTAAAGGTTATTGGTTATTGTTGAATGAAATAATTCATGCAAAAGTCTAGAACCTAATAATAATGAATATAAGAGAAGAACAACATTTGATTTAATATGTTGAAAATAGTTTTTTAAATGTTTTTTTTAAATCTGAATATTTAAGTGTAAATTAGATTTCTGTTTTTAAAAGAGGTTTGGTTCAGTTGGTCACAGTTTGTGTCATGGAGCTTCATGCTGTGTGAATCAAAACAAGATGATCTTTGGGAGTGGAACCAGATTCTATTGATCCCAGTAAGTCTGATACAGATTATTGATTATTTTATTGGCATCTTCACAAGTAAATTTTACATAGTTTTACAGAAAACTATTGTAATAACAGGTAAAACAGATTAAAAAAGTTATTGTCAACTGGATTTAGCAAACATAAGAACAAAAGATTTAGAAGGTAATATAATGAACATAATCAAAATCATTATGAATCAGAAACACTGTAAATGTAAATGTACTTTATTTATTCAGCTCTTTACAACGATCCTTTCGGAGAAACCAAAGTGCTTTACAACAGGTACTAAATAAAGAGAAAAATAAGTGAAAACAATTAAAAAAATAATAAAAGAACAATGAGAGCAATAAAATACAACAAAATCGATTAAGATAAAATAAGATAAAAGTGTTATCATACTACTGGGTATTAAAGGCCATCCTAAATAGGTGGGTTTCTAGCCTAGATTTGAAGAGGCCCAGGTCAGAAATAAGACGGATCTCGGCTGGGAGCTTATTCCAGAGCCTGGGGGCAGCAACAGAAAAGGCTCGGTCACCCCAGTGTCTGTGTTTTGATCTGGGCACTTCCAGCAAAAGCTGATTTGTTGACCTCAGAGGTCTACCAGGATTTCGGACAGTTAAAAGCTCAGATAAATAAGATGGGGCAAGGCCGTTAAGAGCTTTAAAAACAAGCATTAAAAGTTAAAAAAATCAATTCTATAAAGGACAAGGAAGCCAATAAAGATGTGCACCCGTCTGTTAGTGTTGGTTAAAAGACGGGCAGCAGCGTTTTGCACAAGTTGAAGGCGACTGAGAAAAGACCGGGAGACGCCGACAATAAAGCTCATTGCAGTAGCCTAACCTTGAATTTATTAGGGCAATGGATGGCTTTCTCAAGCATGGGACTAAAGCAGTTTGTTCAGGATCTCTACAGTAAATATTACAATTTACATATTTATGAAATAATATCATGCAGTAATATTCTTAATTACATAGTATCTTGTTTTATGACTATTAGATCAATACTTGTCCTGATCATAGTGAATCGAAATAACTCAAAGAGTTTGTTCAGTAACTTCTTAACACTAAATATCATCATATTATTTATGATCCACATTTTATCATGTCGTAGTGTCTTGAATGAAAAGTGACCTGGACAGAATTCT